AAAGCAACAACCTCAAGCCATAATTAACCTGATCAACACAAAAAATTAAGACTGTACACAAGAGCACAGATGAGTGACCTTCACATAAGCTATGAAAATTGTAACCGTAATAAATAGCTTCCTATTTTAACTCATTCGCTACGCCGAGCCGTGGGGGGCAGCGCGGCTAAAGTGCCGTCAGTATGCTAAGCCGCCCCAGGCGGCTCGAGAACCGACGTTCAATTTTTGCTTGGTTTCTATTCCAATCCACATAATCATATTAAAATAAAGGTCATAATATAATGTTGACTTCCGGGTCAAGCGTTTCCACCGAGACTCGGAAGTTTTGATTCAGTTTTGAAACACGAATTCGTAGTTTATTCGACTTTGTTTTATCAAATTATAGCCCAGACACCAGCCTTAGTACTTTTACACAACAAAATGTATCATTATTTTGCTCACTAAAGAAATGTAGGACTCTTCTTTATAATATTGATACTATTGGACGCAAATTGCCAGTGCACTGTAATTGAGAAATCAATATTTTTGAGTGCTAGATCTAGGCCTAGATCTAAATAGTCAAAATATTTTTCTCCCCAAAATCACTACTTTTGGGTGAAATTACTCAAAAAGTACCACTCAAGACATGTATAGGTTTATTCCAAATGTAATTCTGAATAATTCCATATCAGATATGCATATTTTTTTCTGTTTTTGATCCTTTTTTCAAAATTATTTTTCAAAATTTATTTTTTCAATATCAGATGTTATGATCCAAATGTACAAATATTATGGAATGTATGTAAATAACTGCACATTTTTCAATATTTTCCTGTTCTATATACAGTTATGGTTATATTGATGTATCATTTGACTAGGTGCAAACATATTTTTTTAGTTTCACCTGAGATGATAAATTTTTTATTTTCCAATTTTATCCTCATCCAATCACAATTGTGTTGCATAATCGCCTCTTAAAGGAACCAAAGTTGAAAAATACACAAATAAATAATACAGATGTATTCTACAAACCATACTGAAAATGTTGGTATATAATATGTTGATATTTATTTTAAATTTATGGCCCCAAAGACCTGTGAACTGCACACTAGTCATCATCTCATTTCGCCCTCTAGAACAAAATTCGTCCACAAGCCGAAAATAATACGTAGCGAATGAGTTAACTAACACCTTCCCCTTTCAATGATAATGAAGAAACAAACATCCATTGCTTCATAAACACTTGCAGCAGCCAGGAATGATAAAAAAAATAGCTCAAGCACCAGGTACAATTCTTTTACGGCAAGTAAATCTCCAGACAAAAAGAAAATACTTATAATAGCCTATAGACATAGCTGCTGTGATCTTCAGAATCAGATAAATAGTTTACAAAAAGAACCAGCATGGTTTTCATTACCATCATAGCTGGGTAAATAACAATAGTCCCATGACCGTGGGCTCCCCCTGTATTGTTTCATTAGAATGTCCAAACGGCATATTGTCCCCTAATGGTGATATTTTTCTTGTTTTTATTCAGTCTGACTAATTTTAGTCAACTTGTGTAACCCAAAATGTTTTTAAAAAAAAAAAAACAACCAAAAAACCCACAGCTCAAATAGCACTCACCCTCCCGTACTCGCCAGAGTAATCATTTATTTGACACAACTGCGATGACAAACTGAACACATTTTAAACACTCAGACAGTGCTCAAACTCAAATTGTTAAGCGTAGCAGAGTGGAACGTGTTGATAAGCAAAATATTCTTGGTGTTATTGTGAATCGCTTTGACAGCCAAATAATAAAAATGATAGGCAGTATAGAGTTGAGATTTCATAATGACTTGTTTGAGCAGTACAATAAATGTCTGAAGAATCTTTTCCAAAAGGACTTTTACTACAATACAATTGAAGAGATCAAGGTTGCCAGTGAATCATCAAAGACGAAGTCCCGCCATGAATATTATCTTCTCAACAAGTATGAAATTCTTAAATGTGGTGTTGTGCGCAGAAACTTATAGAGAAATGTCAGACACCTGACAAGCTTCCAGTCTACTACGCCAGCATAGAAGACACATTCGACATCATCAAGAAAGCACATTTTGTGACTGGTCATGGTGCTAGAGACAGAATGATGAAGGAACTATCTGTGAAGTATACTAATATTTTGAAGGATGGTGTCGATCTATTCAAGTCATTGTATGCCAGAAAAAGAGAAAATGTCCCACGACCAAAAGAGTGTTTGTGAAAATGATACTGATGACTGAGTTTGCATTAAGAGGACAGATTGACCTGATCGACATGCAGTCCATGAGCCACAATAGTTTTGACCAAATACTGCATACTCCGACCACTTTCACTGAAATAAGCCTCTGAGGTAGCCTTCCATCTTGCTGACATCTTCCCTCTGATAGGCTCACCAGTTATTCTCCAATAGGATAGTGGTTCTGACTTCATCACTGCTGTAATTACAGATCTTGCGACCCTGTGGCCCGACCTGAAGATTGTTCATGGCAAACCCAGACGTCCTCAGCAGAGTCTGGGTTATGTTGAGAGAGCCAACAGTGAAATCAAAGACATGCTTGTGGCCTGGATGGCAGATCACAACTCAACAGATTGTTTGTTCAGTTCGAAAAGAATTCTTTGGAATTCACGCTGGAATCAACTGAAGCCCTTATACTGCAATGTTTGGGACAAGCACTCGTGTAGGACTAACTTCAACATTACTACCAACCAAAGTGATCAGCCAGATAGTGACAGAACAAGATTTGCTTGTACCTCTAGCTCCACCAGAAACGGCACAATCTGAAGAAACACCACCATCCTGAAGTGACCTGTCAGTACTGCAACCATTGACCAACGAGCAACAGTTGAGACATCGCCTACCCATCAACCTCCTGCAACTGATCAACTTGACCAACGACAATCCGACATTATCAACCAGCGATTGGCAGCTACTGCATCACAAACTGACAAAGCAGAACGAACGGTTAAGCGTAGCAGAGTTGAACTTGTTGCTGGTGAAATAGGACAATGTTGCTGAGCCGATTCCATTACTGGCTCAAGGACGTGGTGAACCGCAAAACATTCTTGGTGTCATTGTCAGTCGCGATGACAACAACTACAGAATAGCTGCAAGGAGTGGTGTTCTCAAAGGCAGATATTACCGTAATCAGTTTGACGTTTGTCTCTAACGGCTTCTTTTGCTTGTAAAAATTCAATAAGTACGAAATGTCACGACAATGATGTTGTCGTTCACTGGTTTTGTTTTCTCTGACGATTTTGACAATAATGATGCTTTGATGCTAAAGAAATAATGCCATTTTTACTCCTGTTCTGCTGACGTTACAAATACAAATATAGGGCATTTTTTACAAACAGCAGGTAAAAAGGGATAAATGTTCCTCTTCACCATAAGTGATGAGGCAACCACAATTAGACCCAATCACAGCAGTCAGTGTATAGGGCTATAAGTGCTGCTGGGGACAGTATAGCTAGTGGTGTATAACTTAGTTTCAACATTTGTATCAGCTTTTTTTAGAACAAAATTTTAAAAAAATAATATTGGTTTATATAAATTGGCAGCCCTAATCTATCCTATTACTCTAAGATATTGAATAAAGGGGTCCAAAATTAATAAACAGGGGGTAGGAATAAAAGGAGGGGGGGGGGTGGCACATTCAACCTCATACCCCTCTATCAGTAGGACCAAATCTGTTTTATTTCTCCTTTAGTGATTAATTAAAATAGAACAAAAGGTCAAGAAATGTTTGTGATTTTAGTAAGTTACTGTGACAACTTTTCCCATTTAAGAACAAACCAGTTTCATTAAAAAATATAACCAATGTACAAAAGTTTTTAAAATGTACAGAAAATTGAGGTAGCCAACCTGGTACCAGTACTAATACTGAGGGTAATTTGCCTTTTGTGGCAGGCTGGAAAATAATAAACGGGGGTATGGAATAAATTAATAAGCGCGCGGGGGGGGGGGGGGGGGGGGGGGGGGCTTATTCGATACCTTAGAGTAGTGTTAAAGACTTGTTTTAATTTTCTAATTTCTATTGGAACACCCAATCTTTCAGGATGTTTTACTTTCACTTTCTAGGAATGTCGAGCTGACAGTTTAGTTACAGCATGCATCTATATAATGCGTTGATTGCTTCACATCGAAATATTGGGGAATTCCGCTTTGTAATTATATTGGCCTTTCCCTCTTACAATATGTGAGGCATTGTGGTGAAATCAGGCTCTCGTCAAAATAATGAAATCGAGGATACCGGCATTTTTCTACCTGTTTGGCAGTTTTTATCGAATTTTAATTTTTTGGATCAGCACCATATATATATATATCCATGTAAAAACACATTTCTGTGTGGATTTTACTTTGAGACACAAAAGATGTAAATTTGCAGTATCTTTTGGAAGTAACCAAACTTTGGCAACCATTTTCTCGCTATTTTTCCTCTGACACCAGACGATCCTCACCTCCTTCAATAGCAAATATCTCCACTTCTATTCTAGATAGATGGGTATTTTTTCATCAAAAGCAAGACAAATGAACAAGTTTTGACCCAATTCAGCGTGCGTTGCCGCGGCAGTGCACTTGTGTCCACCTGGCTTGCCGCGATCCGGGGGAAAATATCGGTCTGAACTCGACACACTAACCTTAGAAGTTAGACACGCATTGTGCCCAAACTATTCAAGGTACCAATATGAAATTTTGCTTAGATTTTACTTAAAATGTTCTTTTAATATTATTAGAGAGAAAGATGAAGGAAAGAGTCCGACTGCCACTCATCGGCACTCGATTTAGCCATAGCAACTTAAGAGTAAATCTATGGTCTAGATCTAGCTTTTCTTCGAAGTTTTCAAAGAACTAAAATCAATCAAATCGCCTTGTTTTTCTAGATTTACATCTACTTTCACTTTCTTTGCCGCTTATGTCTAAAACAAAACTAAAATCAGTGTTCATGTATTTAGACAAACACAAAAATAGCAGTGGCACTGTTGTTTTTTTGTGGCTGTTTTTTTTTTTGTTCTTCTTGTCCATGAAGATTTTAGTGCTCGCTTTTTTGCCATGATTTGCGGTGGCAAAACAACAAAACTTACTCGTACTTGGTGAAAAACTGGATCGAAACAAGCTAGCAAAATTTTTACAAGCTACAAGCGACCTATTGTTTTCAATAGAAACCTGGATAAGTGGTTCGAACTCCATTTTCTCGACTGGTATTTTGCTACGATTATTGTAATAGTCGTAGCTCGGTGGACGGAAGTGCGTGGCAGGTAGGAATATACTCGTAGCTTGTGTGCAATGGGTTAAGAAGATGCCAATAACTTAATATGCCCTAAAATTGATGAGCGCCTGACTTCACCGTGTCGTGACACATATTGTTTTCTTCTACCTCTTTCTGTATGATAAATACTACAGTAGAAATGCATCCAACCTGTTTATCTGTATGCCACAAATGACAAAAAAAGACAAATCAAGTAGTGGACTAGCACTCTATTTTGATTTTTTTAAAGGGGTCTTAACACTGACCCAGTTCTAGTCTTGATCTAATATTCTCGCAAATCAATTAAGGCCTACAACAATGTTATGCCAAGGAAAAACACTTTTTTAAAAAGAAGGGATGGGGAGCTGGGATTTTACTCAATTATCCTGATTTCAATCTGTTTCAAACAAATAGATTTAAAACTTAGGGTGAAAATGTCGTGATTTTGGAATTTTGACTAACGCAATCAGAGATACTCTTCCCATGAGAATGTAAACAAAACAGTGCATTGCGGTGATGATGATAGCCAGTTACCTGAACTATTTTTGCACGTCAACACGTTACAAAGTTTACATGTAAATTATGTACAATACACACCCTTTTTAAAGAGGCAAGGGAGCTCAATTTTCTTTTTAAATCCTAAAGCCTCCAAACAGCCAAAGAACACAACCACCAAGCTCCACGGTCATGGAATGTTTCATTTTGCTTCAACTATCAAGAGCAATTTATCAAAGTTTCAATTGTGAATATAATATATATATATGATACAAGAAAATGACAGTGCGTCCACTTCCAGAATATACACCAACACTATCCACGATAGGATACCAATTGGTTAGGAAAGTGTTGCATAGATGGGGTCTCCCACTTTCACTTGTCCACACTTGTCCAGTGTATAATTCACACCAAAGCAAGGCTTCTCTCCGTATGGATGCTTGAGGCGGAACCTGCCGGAAAATCAAGAAAATAGAACTGAGTTTATTTGTTTCACATTGATCATGGCCCTTTTAAAAAAATTAAGCTTATCTGTTTGTTTATAATGAAAGATCCTCTTTTAAAATATGCAAGTCTATAGCATTATTTCCTGGGCTGCACCCAATTTTCCTTATACTCAATCCTTGACAAGAATATAAATGTGCAGATTAGATGAAATTGACAAAATGTCTTCTCCTACATGAAATCCAGAGCAGGTAGAAAAACTCTAGTGAAAAAAAAGACATTCTTTTGAAAAATTTGAGAGACACATTGTAGATGGAAATACATGTGTCACGACAGGGTAGAAACAGGCGCTCATCAAGTTTTCAGCATGAGGAGTTATTGGTATCATCATAAAAGTCGTTCAATTGTCTTGCTTTTCATGAAAAAAATACCTGTCTATAAGATAAGATGAAATACACCTTTATTGTCCAGACCCTAGCACATTGGTTTGGGTTTTCACCATGTACACACACCCATACACACACCCACAAACACATACACGCACACACACACACATGCACACACCCACTCTCTCTCTCACACATCCTCTCCTCCACATACATTTGTGCACATGACCATAATAATACTAATACAATGGTATGCTTGCACTCACAAACAGGCTCACAGTTAAATGCATGTATAATATAAATGAACAATAATTAATAATTGTAAACATTAACAGTTTTAAGTTAGATACGTATTCAGTATTCTGAGTGTAACTCTATGGTATTCTGATATTGCATCCTTTAAGGTCAAAGGAATACTTCTGTTTCAAGATGATTCAAATGGTAGTTTAATGGATGAAGGTAAGAATTATCATCTGTATCTGTCTTTGTTACAGATCAGAAGCGTAGGTCTTTTACTTCTGATTAATATTTTATTTGACGGAACAAGGACGTTATCCAAAAAGATGGGATTGTTCTAGTGCAAGCGATAATGCATAATTCATCCAAGTAGGGGAATGTAGATGTTGAAATGTTGCACACTCTCCGTATTAACTGGTTCAATTTTTCTTTATCTTGTTGCCTGGCCCAGGCTGTCACAAAAATTGATCATACTTTCTATGGTTGAATGATAAAATATGGACATCAATGATTTATTAACTTAAAAATACACGAGCTTTCTCAGGAAAAATAGTCTTTTGTTCACTTTTAAATGCAGGAGAGAAGTGTGGACATGCCAATTGAGTTTGATGTCTAAGGTAATACCCAAATACAATTGCTCGACGTTTTCATTTTTAATTTAGAGTGGCTGCAGGGGCAACTTCTTTTATCTTAAGTCAATAACAAGTTCTTTGGGTTTTTTTCACATTAAAAAACAGCTCATGAGTCTTGAACTTAACATTAAATGTGCGTATTGTTAGTTTGCTTAGGAGTCACTGATTTTGTGTAGGAGGGTACGAATTTTTAAGGTCAATTTTGAGTGACCATATCTCGGCATCTTTTAACATAGATGAAATATTAATGTGTTAGATGATGCAGAATTTATTTTGCTTTAAATTGGCATGCTGCATGAGTGGGTAGTAAAAGGCCTTAACACAATGATTTGGTGATTACATTTTCAAGTTTCTTTTGGACGCCACTGTATAGACTATCAAAAAGAGAGCACAAGAGCAAAGCATTGATTTTAGTCTGTTCCCTTTTTTCACCCTTCATACACACCATACTGTGTACCATCATCACCCAATAGTTTCACCCAGAGATGCCAACTCCACATGATTTTTTTACTGAACCTTTTCAGGCGGCTGTCTTAGAGAGAAAACGATTATGTAACTGTCATCACACAAGACACACACAGACAGAGAAAAAAATTATGTTTCTAAGCCAACGAACTCGGGTAACTTTCAAACTGAAACTGAAAGCAGGTGGAAGTAGGCCTCCAGTAAACAAAGACAGGCTTTCATGCGCATGCTCACCTTAGTGCGCATGCTCAGAAGTCGAGATTAGCCCATCGTCGCTTGTCGTATTCATAAATTTGACCCTAAGGCACTCCATCAATTTTGTGTACTTCCATAGTTCCGTAAGTGGCTTGTTTGCATATCATACGTAAAGCCCCGGTTACACGCAACGATAAATTGTACAAAAACTGGATGATCTAGAGATCATACGATATATCGTTAGGTGTAACCACAAAATTGTACAAAATTTGGACGATTGAACGATGCTTTGGAGACTCGGTCAAGAAATCAAGCGCTGCTTGATATTTTTCGTGCGATTCACGGTCAGATTTGGGGGAGACGCGCTGTGACATAGATTCACTTTGAAGTTTGCCGCCCTGCAGAACTAAACTCACGGCTCAAATTTTAAAAAATTATTGTAGTAGGTACCAGAAACTAAATTTTCAAAGTAGGTGTATGCCAAATTTATCTGTTCCATTTGAAAGGCCTATATCAACTGAGCATTTTGGTACCATTCTTTAACCTCTCAGTCAAATTTTAAGAAAATGGTAGTTGTTTAAAATTTGATCAAATTTGTTAAAGTCAGTCACTGGCTGCAACTCCATGTTTGACAGACCATAAAAGAGTACCAAGTGCACTAAACATCTCCACATTAACAGAGTACAGTCACTATAACATATGTATGGAGCCTAATTTCTTTCAAGACTGTGAGATCATTACAAATCAGTATTTTATCACCTCAAACACAACGATCTGTCGTTATTTCGACAAAAACACTGAGCGTTGACCCGGCCTGCGCCGCACCGGCCCACGCGGCGATCGAGTCAGCTCTATACTGTAGTGTACCCCGCATGCGGGGTCACATGCTTTCCTAGTCTCGCGGAAGGATTGATGAAAAATAATTCCTAGCTGATTACTTTATTCTAATAGAACATAAACTGTTCTTTTAATTAATAACTTTTTAAAGCCGGTATTTTACATATTTTGTGTAAAAAGTGATCTTTAAACATTTTGTCGGCATTTTTAAAAGCTTTCTATTTAAACGCCAAAGGCGAAATATATACCACGGGAAAGCCCGTTTAAAGCTCTACAGTTCTCCACCAATGAAAAGATGGTATTTAATCATCCCTTGTTCTGCGAAGCATTTGAATGCACGCGTGTCACTTTTTGAACCGGCCGACCACGCATTCCGACACCATTGTAACGAGGAAAAGCTGAACTTTTACAAAGTGTACGGCATTTGGTGTTTTATAGCGAAACAGCAAAGAAACAGCGATCGGAATTACCCCGATTTCCCCAATACCACACGGTCGGAAGGCCGCGAGTGCCCACGAGGCCGTGTTTACGCTACGTAATTGTAGGTAAAAACTGATTTCATATTCGGAATCAGCGTCTCAAAATAAGCAAAGTTGCTCTCGGAGAACCTGATTTGGGGCGTTATTATATATCTTTTAGCAATTTTATTATTTAGTTGATCGTCAAGAGTGAAGCTGTGCATCAAGGTCACTCGGTGCTATGCACATCTACAGTCAAGTCATAGCTTCCGGTTCTACACACAACACGGTTGGCCTACAGTTAAACAACAGTATGGCCACCCTTTTCTAAAGACACTGTTCTGCTAATCAAAATGTACAGGGGAAAGGGTGGGGGGGGCTCTCGTGATCTAGAGGTACAGTGTTCGCCTTTCATTCATTAGGTCCAGAGCTCGAAACCTTCATATAGAGATCAGGCAAATCGCTGTCGTCGCAAAGAGACACGGTGACTTTATGAAGAGGAGTCTCCTCAAACGAAAGAAAACAGGACGATGGATTGGAACATGTAAACAGACAACAAAGTTCGATAAAACGGACAGTTCTCTCAGACGACGAATCTGATACTATTTATCGTTGCGTGTAACCCAGGCTTTAGTTTTACAGAACTTTATACGGCGATTTTTCTTTTACGGATTTGAGTAAATTTACAGAAAAATCGCACCTTTGGTTTCACCTTTGCAACCAGTCGTTTCCATACGCAGAAAAGCCCAGCTAACTGTTTATATCACCATGACTTTGGGATCTGTAAGATCTTTCCAGTTTCTGCTGAAAATTTTGTTTTGCTAAGAGGCTACTTGAAAAAGCAATTTACTGTTGTTTGATTCTGGCACTTTTCCCATTGATTTCTAGAATTATTTTCTTCTGCATTGAGCTTGATTCTTGATACCGCCATTATTTATTTCTTCCATGATGACAATTTATATGGCAATAAAGAAAGGAGTGGATAAAATGAACGAGGAGTCAATGCCTGGTCAGAAGAAGGAATTGGACACTGATAAACCACTGACAAAGAAGCACAAGAAGAAGCACTTTTATTTATTCTTTTAAAGTAGGTGTTTTTATGCCTCAATAGCCGCAATTTTGATCATCAAGGAGACAGGCTTCCACCCTGCCTTTCAGAGCCAACCAGGCTGAGAGGGATACAACGTCCCACCAGCAGAAAGAACAAGATACTAGACAAAAATTCTCCCTACACGAGAAATGAAATCAGGTCCCTGGCATGCTACAAAGGGCCGCCTAGCTGTTACACCACAGATGAGTGTGAAGAAGAAAAACGAGGAGGAGGAGAGGACGGAGGAGGAGGAAAACTGGAACAGATCAGTGCACCATCCTTGACCAACCACAGATCTGGGATAAGAATAGAAACATCGACTGCTCTCTGAATCTTTTTCTTCTTTGCATTTCCATGCTAAATCTCAGGGGTAGTCGACTGCTGGTACTTCAACCTGTAGCACAACTGATTTTTACGTATGTGACCGTTCTTCCTACTAGTAGGCCCCTTGCCCTCAGGTTCTCAGTAATTTGCCCAGGTGGCAGCTTAAGTCTATTCTTATCGATTTTAAGACCACCAAGGGATCTTTAACGCGCGCAACTTGCACATGGGACCTCCGAGGGCTGTTTGAATCTGTCCCCGTAAGATTATGCGCAACATTTGCATAATTTTGGACTCCCTGCGTTTTTTCACGTTTCTTTTAATTTTTCACAAAACAATTAATTAACGCCTCGCCATGTTACTAAAGGGAAGTAATCAACGTAATAAGTCTCATTTAAGTGAAAAGTTGGTTATTTCCCTTGTTAGAAGATCTTGATAATAATGGTTATAGGCTTGGAGTAACTATATAGGGAGAGGCCCTAACGTTGCGTCGCCCGCTCAACAGTTCCAACCAAGTTGAAGCCGAAAGGGCGGAG